AACATTATTAAATGAAATAAACTAAATATAAAGTAAATGACTAATATGTTAAATTTTAAAATTGTTCCATATGAAAAAACAAAAAAATATATAAAACATAAAATCAGAAAAATATATAATAATATATAAATGATCATTACGAGATATAAAGTACGACAAATCCAAAAAAGGAAAACGTAAAACAAAAAATAATAAATTATGACAATATATAAAGAGATAATGTAAACAATTAAAAATACAACAATCCGCCCGAAACCCACAAATCATGTTCAAATTTCATGTCAACATATAAAAGGGCCCAAAATATTAACATCTAGATCTATATTTGGTAATAGCACACGTTTCTCAATGATTCTCAACCGCACTTACATTTACGCCCACACTTCGACTTATACTATACACACTTAATTTCTCAACGACTAATGAAGCTAAAACTCAATAGTTTTTCTATACAAACACAATTTAAGTTTTAAAAAGTAAAGTATAGTATAGTGAAAAAAATAAGTAGGAAATAAGATACGAACGAATTACTCATAAACAATATAATAAACTCGCGCGCGTAGCGCGGGCAACCGACTAGTTACCTAATAAAATTAACATTTTGAGGAAATTTGGCGAGTAATTGTACTGATCAATGATCTAATATAGAAAGAGAATCCATGATTAGTTTTCTACAATCTTTGGGATGATGATACGTAATTAAGTAGTTTTCTATAATCTATTTTAGTAATTAATAAATTATCATTGAACCACAGTACCACACCATGTTTAGACTGTAGTTATGCAAGTCCAACTATAAACAAAATCCGAATGATATGAAACTAATATGTAGTATAACCACTCTTAATGAATAACTATGCTCTTTAATCTTTTCGTAGCGGAACTCATGTTTGCTTTTCGTTAAACCTATATATATATGACAATTACAAACCTCTTCAAATGCATTATACTTTTTGTACCCCAAATAACAAGTAAGAATTTATTTTGTATGGTATAAGAACTGCTACATTCCAAATGTAACAAATCAACAATCTTCGACTTTATAGATAAAGATTGGAATCGGACAATCTCGGAATGGGCAAGGCAACAAGAGCGGTCTTGAGTTTTAAGACAATACCAAATTGCTCTTGCAAATCCAACACTTTTCCTTCGGCTATCTTCCAATCAAAAGAGTGTAATAATGTCGCCAGAGTGTACAAAACCATCCTCTCGCCGAGTGCTACACCGGCGCAAATTCTCCGGCCAGATCCAAACGGAAAATAGCTATAGTTGGTTCCGGTAAAATCACAAGTGTTGTTATCAAAAAATCTTTCTGGACGAAACTCTGTTGGGTTCTCCCACATGTTTGGATCTCTCTGAATAGACCAAACATTGACAAAGATCTTACTGTCTTTAGGGATAGTGTAGCCACCCACCACGGCGGATTCAGCAGGACGGTGAGGGACTAACAAAGGAAGGGTCGGGTGGAGCCTAAGTGTTTCCTTCATAATGGCTGATATGTAAGGAAGACTAGTGATATGTGATTCTTCAACAATCTTGTCTTTGCCTACAACTTCGTCTAGCTCCTGTTGTGCTCTTTTCATCAGCTCCGGGTTGCTCATTAGCTCGGCCATAGCAAACTCTATCGTGTTCGTTGATGTGTCTGTGCCACCAACCACCATATCCTTCATACATAAACAATATCACTAATGATCAAATCAATTTTCACAAACTAACAAATATCTACAATCTCTATATTTATCTAGTCTGATTTCAAATCAAGTCTCTATATCATGAAACTTCCATAAATATGCTATTCTACCCAATATATATATCCTAAAATTATATAAATAAAACCATTAATTTATTACCGTGAGTACGGCTTTGACATGGTTAGCCGTAATGGAAACCTCGGAGTCACTTTCTTGCTCCTTTAATTTCATCAAATATTGCAAGAAGTCTTTGCTTTCACCATCATGAGCATCTCTTCCTTTTAGCCTTTGCATCTGCTCGATGGCTCGATCAAGTACCGCATCGAGCTCTCCAGCACACACACGCATCTTCTTCACAAGCCCTTGAAGATCGAATCTCGCTAGCCACGGGAAAAAATCAGAAACATTAGGCTCAGCCAAAAGCCTAGTTATCTCAGAGATAACTCCTTTAAACTCTGTTCCAATACTCTCCATCATCTCTGTTTCCACCGACCCTCCCCATAACATATTCATCGTCAGATTCATCATCGTCAAAAACAATTGATCTCCTACGTTCACATGTGATCCTTCTTGACCTTGCTCGTATAGATACCTCGTTCTTTCCCTGACTTCTTTGCGCCGGAGCTCGTAGAAAGAATCCAAAGTCTTGCGGCTAAGGAGTTTGAGAACGCATACTTTTCTAAGCTGTCTCCATTCAGCGCCGTATGGTGACCAAACGATATCAATACCGCCATATGTAGCGGCTCGGCCAGTGATGGGGACGTCTCGGTTTGAGAAATTGATATCTTGATCTTTCAAGATCTCTCGAGCCAACGATGGAGAATCGACCACGACGGTTAGTTTCGAGCCAAGATTGAGTTTAAAGATTGGACCGTGTTTTTGAGCTAGGTTTGCAAAGTAGGTGTGAAGGTCCGGGTCAAGAAACGGTAGGTTCCCGACTAAAGGTAGCCCTCTTGGTCCAGGCGGTAGAGGCGGTCGTGGCGAGCGTTTCGAGAGGTACCATAGAATCGAGAAGATGGCGATGAGAACAAGAATTGAGTAAGGTGTGATATTGATTGTGTTCTCGGGGAAGAGATTTGTAAACAGAGACATTTTTTTTTTTGCACGCTATGAAGATCAAAGAAAAGGAAAGTGTTATTTAATGATAGTTTATTGTTTCATCGTATTTAATTTTTGTTGGGACTATATAGTAATTCCCAATGTATTTAGAGTACTTTATTTTTTAGTAGATATTGTTTTATATTATTTTTGTCATTTTTCATAGATATTATTTTTAATTTTATTTTGTTGTCTTTTTTTTTTATGTTGAAATCATTCAAATTTTTTTTTTTGTGGATATAGTCCTTGGATTATATAATTATTAGAAATGTTCGATGTAATCGAGGATTATTCAGTTACCTGTATTATACGCAATTATGATAAATAATTCATAAGAAATAATTTTCTCTGCAACTGATTATATTGGTACGACACCTCTATAATTCAAACATTTAGTGGATATGACTTAAAATAAGGAAATATTACTAATTTCACATGCTATATCTTATCATCTTATTAATGTTTTTGGCAATTCTTAACAAATAGGCAGAATCGGCTCTGAAAAATGTTTTGTGCCAATAAATTAGGTTAACCTCCTACTCTTTACACAATTACACCTCCACAGAGTCAATAACTAACTAATGTATTTAAAAATGTATTTAGCATATTTATAGATGGCTGCAAATTTTGGATTGGCTCGCTTGTATTCATGGCCGGTTCTACATCTAAGTCTAGTATGTTTGGTTCTTTTCTTTATATCACCTAATAATGTTACTGTAATGCGTCATCATATTAATTATCCATTATAATATAATCAAGAAAAAAATCTTTGATTGTTTGATCTAGAGCAATACGGTCCACGCATCATGTGAGTTATAATATACCACATAGAACAACATTGGAATACACAGCAACTTGATATCCATCAAGATTTAGTAAAACAAGTGGTCCTTGTTCAGTAATTTTCCTCTCTATGGAAACCGATGTTTGACGTACATTCTTTTACATTTTAAGAACATATAATGACTTAAGCCTTTACAAATAAAGATTCGAATTCGACAACCTCGGAACAGGTAAGACAATAAGAGGGTTCTTGAGCTTCAAAACAATTCCAAACTTCTCTTCCAAACTCAACACGTGACCTTCTGGAATTTTCCAATCGAACGAATGCAACAGCGTTGCGAGAGTGTACAAAACCATCCTCTCGGCAAGTGCTATACCAGCGCAAATTCTCCTTCCAGATCCAAATGGAAGAAAGCTATAATCTGTTCCAGTGAAATCACAAGAGTTATTATCAAGAAACCTCTCAGGACAAAACTTAGTCGGATTATCCCACACATGTGGGTCTCTCTGAATAGACCAAGCATTGATGAAGATCTTCGTGTTTTTAGGGATGGTGTAGCCGCCCACAACCGCGGTTTCAGTCGGACGATGAGGGACTAGCAAAGGAATGGTTGGATAAAGTCTAAGTGTTTCTTTCATAATGGCTACTATGTAAGGAAGTCTAGTGATGTGTGATTCTTCAACTATGTTGTCTTTTCCTACAACTTCGTCTAGCTCTTGTTGCACTCTCTTCATCAACTCCGGGTTGCTTATTAGTTCGGCCATCGCAAACTCTATCGTGTTGGTCGATGTATCCGTACCACCAACAACCAAATCCTTCACAACATATATATAACAAACAATGGATTAAGTCATTAGTTCTCAGGAACAGATAAACATTTTTCTTTTTCCACCAGAATATTTAAAGACTAATCTTGCATAGCTTGCATTAATATGCCATCCTCCCGTAGTATATAGTCTTAAGTACGAAAAATAAAAATATTTAATTACCACAAGTACGGCTTTGACATGGTTAAGCGTAATGGGAACCTTGGAGTCAGCTTCTTCCTCCTTTAACTTCATCAAATGTTGCAAAAAGTCTTTACATTCACCATCATCATTATCCCTACTTCTTAGTCGTTGCATCTGCTCGATGGCTCTATCAAGTATCGCATTAAGCTCTCGAGCACACACATGCATCTTCTTCACATGACCTTGAAGATCGAATCTAGCTAGCATTGGGAAAAAATCAGAAACATTAGGCTCTCCCAAAAGCCTAGTTATTTCAGCAATAACTCCTTTAAACTCTGTTCCAACACTCTCCATTTCCTCTGCTTTAACCGAACCTCCCCACAACATATTCATCATGAGATTCATCATTGTCAAAAAGATCTGGTCTCCGACGTTCACTGGTGATTCTTCTTGACCTTTCTGGTACATATATCTCGTTCTTTCCCGGACTTCTTTTCGCCGAAGCTCGTAAAAAGAATCCAAATTTTTGCGGTTAAGAAGCTTGAGAACGCAAACTTTTCTAAGCATCCTCCATTCGGCACCGTATGGTAACCAAACAATGTCGAGACCGCCATAAGTAACGGCTCGGGCCGTGAGAGGGACGTCATGGTTTGCGAAATTGATGTCTTGGTCTTTCAAGATCTCTCGAGCTAGTGCTGGAGAGTTGACCACGACGGTTAGTTTTGAGCCAAGATTGAGTTTAAAGATTGGACCGTAACGTTGAGCGAGGTTTGTGAAGTATGTGTGAAGATCCGGGTCAAGAAAGGGAAGGTTCCCGACGATAGGTAGCCCTCGCGGTCCAGGCGGCAGAGATGGATGCGGTGAGCGTTTCAAGAAGTACCATAGAATCGATAAGATGGCGATGAGAACTAGAGTTACGTAAGGCTGGACACTAACAAAAATTGTCTTGTCGGTGAAGAGAGTTGAAATGGAAAACATCTTTTACATTTGTTGGTGTCGATCCCTTAATGGTATTTTATACGGTTACGATCTTAGGTACATCATTATTCATCTTCACCGTATTATATACGGTAGAGGACTTGAGGGGCTTAAGAGGATAAATTGATAACATTTGAACGGATGATATAACTAGTTTTAAATTGTTTTTTTTTTTGCATGAAAAAATGATATTATCTTCTTTTTTATTTTATTTTGTCAAGGTAAAAAATGAATATATTTTGAAGCGATTTTGACAAAACAAAATCCATTTGGACCCTCAAGATTCATTGATAGATACTATATATCGTAATTTTGAGGAACTAAACAATAATTGTCTTTGAACAAAAAAAAAACAACAATCGTCATAATTTTGTGTGTGTGTACAACGTAAAATACAATTTTGTAATTTTTAGTATACATATATATTAGGAAACTATACCAGATTTAGAAAAATTAGATGCAAAAAAATTATTAAAAATTTAATTTTAGGTAAATTTACTGATGAAAATGGATATTTCTAGGTTTTAGGTTTTAAAACTGATGAAAATGGATATTCTATGGCTAAATAATTTACTCTTGATAAATACATCAAAAAATAAAAATAGTGGAAATTGTATTATGTTTCAAATAATATAATTTACTGTGTCTGCTCTTGTGAGGTAAAATTAAACAAACTCTCTTAATTAAAAGCATTTGAAACTCAAAGTTGTGTACAATTATTTGGTTTTGAAAGGTGAATATGATATGTTCGTCTGTATATGATTCTATGACTTATTTAGATGTCAAATAGGGTATAGATATGATTTCAACAAAAACAGCTGATATGTATACACATTTAGTAGCTTAAAGGTAGACGCAAGTAATTGGGAAGATCTCAGAGAATCATCTCTTTCAGATTTCGACTAGGGAAAGGCATATCAAAAATTTTAAATCCAATTTTGGACCTCAACATCCAGCTGCTTTCAAGATTAGTATTGGAAGTGAACGGACATGGACAATGTTCTTAACCTCTTCAAATTTTCAAAGTCTTTAATTACATTCAAGCGGTTTCATTTATTTATGCCACACCTTTCATGCCGTATTTTTGCAACTATGTATACTTTATATTATTAGTTTTTTACAAATACAATATTTTATGTAAATTACTATTTCTATTTCAAATTATATTATATATCAGTAAATATTCTCTTTGCGTTGTAGTGTAGGTCTGATCCTAGTATTTAGTAAAACTAATTATAAGATTTTGTGTTAATGGAAACCAATTTTTAATTTTCAAAACAAACTTATATAGCAACTAAATAGTTCAAAAATGCATTGTACTAAAACAAGAAAAAAAAATGCATTGTACTTTTACCCCCAAAAAACAGTGTAATTTTTTGTTGTTGTATATTAGTTATAACAATTTTACAATCTTCTTACCTTTTATGGAAATATAAGGGTTTTACCTTTTATAAATAAAGATTCAAATTGGATAACCTCGGAACAGGCAAGGCGACAAGAGGGGTCTTGAGCTTCAAGACTATTCCAAACTTCTCTTCCAAGTCCAACACGTGACCCTCAGGAATCTTCCAGTCGAACGAATGCAATAGCGTCGCAAGAGTGTACAAAACCATCCTCTCGGCGAGTGCTATACCCGCACAAATTCTCCTTCCAGATCCAAATGGAAAGAACCTATAATCGGTTCTAGTGAAATCACAAGAATTATTATCAAGAAACCTCTCAGGACAAAACTTAGTCGGGTTACCCCACACATGTGGGTCTCTCTGAATAGACCAAGCATTGATGAAGATTTTTGTGTTTTTAGGGATGGTGTAGCCGCCCACAATCGCTGTTTCAGTCGGACGATGAGGGACTAGCAAAGGAATGGTTGGATAAAGTCTAAGTGTTTCTTTCATAATGGCTACTATGTAAGGAAGTCTAGTAATGTGTGATTCTTCAACTATGTTGTCTTTGCCTACAACATCGTCTAGTTCTTGTTGCGCTCTCTTCATCAACTCTGGGTTTCTTATTAGTTCGGCCATCGCAAACTCTATCGTGTTCGTCGTTGTATCTGTACCACCAAGTACCATATCCTTCACATATTTAACAACCACTTTGATTAAGTCAGTCCTTGGTGTTCAGATTTTTCTAATCGTTCTATATATAATCTACATAGCTTCCAAGAATATGCTATCCTTAAAAGTTTATATTGTAAAACTGAAACTATTTCATTACCGAGAGTACGGCTTTGACATGGTTAAGCGTAATGGGAACCTCCGAGTCAGCTTCCTCCTCCTTTAACTTCATCAAATGTTGCAAAAAGTCTTTACATTCACCATCATCACCATCCCTACTTCTTAGTCGCTGCATCTTCTCGATAGCTCCATTAAATATCGCATCGAGCTCTCGAGCACACACATGCATCTTCTTCACAAGACCTTGAAGATCGAATCTAGCTAATATTGGGAAAAAATCAGAAACATTAGGTTCTCCCAAAAGCCTAGTTATTTCAGCAATAACTCCTTTAAACTCTGTTCCAACACTCTCCATTTCCTCTGCTTTTACCGAACCTCCCCATAACATATTCATCGTGAGATTCATCATCGTCAAAAAGAGCTGGTCTCCTACGTTCACCGGTGATTCTTCTTGACTTTTCTGGTACAAATATCTTGTTCTTTCCCGGACTTCTTTGCGTCGAAGCTCGGAGAAAGAATCCAAATTTTTGCGGTTTAGAAGCTTGTGAACGCAAACTTTTCTAAGCATTCTCCATTCGGTACCGTATGGTAACCAAACAATGTTGAGACCGCCATAAGTAAGGGCTCGAGCCGTGAGAGGGACGTCATGGTTTGAGAAATTGGTGTCTTGATCTTTCAAGATCTCTCGAGCTAGTGCTGGAGAGTTGACCACGACGGTTAGTTTTGAGCCAAGATTGAGTTTAAAGATTGGACCGTAACGTTGAGCGAGGTTTGTGAAGTATGTGTGAAGATCCGGGTCAAGAAACGGGAGGTTGCCGACAACTGGTAGCCCACGCGGTCCAGGCGGCAGAGGTGGATGCGGCGAGCGTTTCAAGAAGTACCATAGAATCGATAAGATGGCGATGAGAACTAGAGTTGCGTAAGGTTGGACACTAATAAAAATTGTCTTGTCGGTAAAGAGAGTTGAAATGGGAAACATCTTTTACTATTTGTCGAAGTTATGAGATGGACTTGAGTTGTTGGTAGTGTCCTTTAATGGTATTATACGGTTACGATCTTAGGTACAGCATTGTTCATCTTCACGGTATTATATACGGTAGAGGACTTGAAGGGCTTAAGAGGATAAATTGGTAACATTTGAACGGATGATATAACTAGTTGTAAATTCTTTTTTTGTATGAAAAAATGATATTTATCTTTTTTTTTTGGTCAAGGTAAAAAGATGAATATATTTTGAAGCTATTCTGACAAAACAAAATCCATTTGGACCATCAAGATTAGAGAGTTCGTGTAGTGTGTGTGTGTGTCCCTTTACCGTAGATTAAAGGTATGATTCATTGATAGAGACTATACAATAATCGTCATAATTTTGTGTGTGTGTACAACGTAAAATACAATTTTGTAATTTTTAGTATACATATATATTAGGAAACTATATCAGATCTAGAAAAATTGGATGCAAAATAATTTTTAAAATTTAATTTTAGGTAAAACTGATGAAAATAGATATTCTATGGCTAAATAATTTACTCTTGATTAAAACATCAAAAAATAAAATAGTGAAATTATTCATTTTTACGGTATTTATATACGGTGAGCGATACAGAGCAGAAGACTTTAGACAATAAATTGATAGCATTTGAGCTGATGAAATAATTTTTATCATATTAAATTTTTGTCTATAGTCATGAAAAATGAAAAAATCTTTTTTTTTTTTGTGTGTGTAAGATTAAAAATGATAATATATCTCTTTGGGACCAAAATTTTGAGGCCATACAACAAAACAAAATCTATTTGGTTGTCAAGAATAGAGAGTTTGTGCAGTAAGATTCATTGATAGACTGTATCACAATTTTATGGAACTAAGCAAAAATCGTCATAATTGTTTTGTGTACATCGTAAAATACAATTTCAGAAATTGTGGTATACTGTGTACATGTATATGAGGAAACAATATGGATCTCAAAAATTTTTAGAGAAATTCTCTTGGATGCCATCATTTTAGTTTTTTTTCGTAAAAAATCACAATTTGTTTTTATTTTAAAGATTACCACAAAAATTTTATTTTTCCAAAAATACCATAAATATAAAAAGTTGATTTTTAAAGGTATAGAATTATTTTTTAAAATATTTGGGTTGACTATTTATAGTTAGTGTATAGTTTTAGGGGTAAGTTTTAGTGTTTAGGATTTAGAATTTAGTTTTGAATGTTAAAAAAATTAGTTTTAGTTTTGCGGTATTTTTAGAAAATAAATTATTTTAGTGGTACTTTTAGAAAGTAAAACTTATAATGCATTTTCATGGTATATAAGACAAGTACCCAATATTTTATTGGATGCACAATAAATATTCAATTTTCATTTTAAATAAAACTGAGGAAAATAATATTTGTATGGAATATAATTTGTTGCGCCAAAATAGGCCAATTCTCAATAATATTTGTATGGTTTATATTTGAGGGTATTTCTCAAAAAAATAAAGATATAATATTATTTTTTTGTTTAACAAAAACCGAAGGGGATTGAAACTTTTCAGTTTAGAAAAATATGCTAGTTTAGTTCCCTCGTCTTTGGTACCGGAACTTGCGACTTTTTACTCTTAGTCTCATTCAAGATGGCCATATTAAAAACTTTAGCATTTAATTTTAACCCGGATAATTTTATGTATTATATATTAGCAACAATATAACAATATTTATAACCTTAAAACAAAAATATAACGGTTTTAGCATTTATAAATAAAGATTATGATTGGATAACCTTGGAACAGGCAAGACGACTAGAGGGGTCTTGAGCTTGAGGACAACCCCAAACTTCTCTTCCAAGTCCAACACGTGACCTTCAGGAATTTTCCAATCAAACGAATGCAATAGCGTCGCGAGAGTGTACAAAACCATCATCTCAGCAAGCGCTATACCCGCGCACATTCTCCTTCCAGATCCAAATGGAAGAAACCTATAATCTGTTCCACTGAAATCACAAGCCTTCTTATCAAGAAACCTCCCGGGACAAAACTCATTCGGGTTATCCCACACATTTGGGTCTCTCTGAATAGACCAAACATTGATGAAGGTCTTAGTGTTTTTAGGGATGCTGTATCCGCCAACAACCGCGGTTTCAGCCGGACAATGAGGGACTAGCAAAGGAATGGTTGGATAGAGTCTAAGTGTTTCTTTCATAATGGCTACTATGTAAGAAAGTCTAGTGATGTGTGATTCTTCAACTATGTTGTCTTTGCCTACAACATCGTCTAGTTCTTGTTGCGCTCTCTTCATCAACTTTGGGTTTCTTATTAGTTCGGCCATCGCAAACTCTATCGTGTTGGTCGTTGTATCTGTACCACCAAGTACCATATCCTTCACATATATAACAACCACTTTGATTAAGTCAGTCTTTGGTGTTCAGATTATTCTAATCGTTCTATATATAATCTACATAGTTCCAAGAATATGCTATCCTCAAAAGTTTATATTGTAAAAAGTATTAAAACTGAAACTATTTCATTACCGAGAGTACGGCTTTGACATGGTTAAGCGTAATGGGAACCTCCGAGTCAGCTTCTTCCTCCTTTAACTTCATCAAATGTTGCAAAAGGTCTTTACATTCACCATCCCTACTTCTTAGTAGCTGCATCTTCTCGATGGCTCCATTAAGTATCGCATCAAGCTCTCGAGCACAAACATGCATCTTCTTCACAAGACCTTGAAGATCGAATCTTGCTACCATTGGGAAAAAATCAGAAACATTAGGCTCTCCCAAAAGCCTAATTATTTCAGAAATAACTCCTTTAAACTCTGTTCCAACACTCTCCATTTCCTCTGCTTTAACCGAACCTCCCCATAACATATTCATCGTGAGATTCATCATCGTCAAAAAGAGCTGGTCTTCGAGGTTTACCGGGGATTCTTCTTGACCTTTCTGGTACAAATATTTCGTTCTTTCCCGGACTTCTTTGCGTCGAAGTTCGTAGAAAGAATCCAATGTTTTGCGGTTAAGGAGTTTGAGAACGCAAACTTTTCTAAGCATTTTCCATTCGGCACAGTATGGTAACAAAACAAGGTCGAGACCGCCATAGGAAAATGCTCGGCCTGTGAGGGGGACGTCACGGTTTGCGAAATTGATGTCTTGGTCTTTCAAGATCTCTCGAGCTAGAGCTGGAGAGTTGACCACAACGGTCAGTTTTGAGCCAAGATTGAGTTTAAAGATTGGACCGTAACTTTTAGCAAGTTTTGTGAAGTATGTGTGAAGATTGGGGTCAAGAAAAGGAAGGTTCCCGACGATAGGTAGCCCTCGCGGTCCAGGTGGTAGAGGCGGATGCGGTGAGCGTTTCAAGAAGTACCACAGAACCGATAAGATGGCGATGAGAACGAGAATTGCGTAAGGTGTGACATTGATCAATATTTTGTTGTCGGTGAAGAGAGTTGATATGGGAAACATCTTTACAGCTGTTTGTAGAAGTTATGAGATGGACTTGATTAAGTTTTTGTCACTATAAGTCTATAATGGACTAATGGTATTGTATACTGTTACAACGTACAGCATCATCATTCATCATTCATCATTCATCTTCACTGTTGATACGGTAAGCCAATTCTAACCGGAGGACTCAAAGGGTTTGAATGATAAATTGATAACATTTGAGTGGATGATATAATTTTTTTTTTTTTTTGTCTTTAGTCATGAAAAATTGATAATATCTTTTTGTTTTGTCTAAGAATCTCTTGGGACCATTTGGAAGCCATTCAAACAAAACAAAACAATTCAATTTGGACCTCAAGAAAAGAGAGTTTGTGACTTTATGTATGTAAATCGTAAAAAAAATATTTCATAAATTATAGACTTTATAGTATACATGTATATGAAGAAATATGAAGAAACTAAAAAATATTTTAATAGAGGCATAATATATATCAAATCTTAATTTCAAATATAACTGAGGAGAAAACAATAGTTTATATCTGTATGGCTGAATAATTGTTGCCAAGTAAAAGTAAGTAGCTAAATATTTACATATTCTAATCTGTATTTCCACTTCAAAGATATTAAGACAATTTGATAACAAATTCAAACAATAAATTATTTAAAATTCTATTAAGTTTCTTTCTAATAATACAACCTCTTTTTCTTATTAATCCAATTATTAGGAAATGCTTTCGTTGCAAATATGTATATATATTTTTTTAAACGCTGATGGATTATATTATTAGCCCAAGAGTGCAAATAACAGTGCAAATCATATATATAAAAGTAAGGTTCCACTCTCTCCTTATTGGTGGAAAAATATTTAAGGTTTTAATTTTTAAAAATAAATAAATAAATAAATGTTTATGACAATCATTCAATACAAAATTTAATTACACTATAAGTTATAATCAAATGGCAAAGAAAATGAAAGGACTTAATCATATATCATTCAACAAAATAAATAAATAAATAAATGTTTATGATAATCATTCAATACAAAATTTAATTCCACTATAAGTTATAATCAAATGGCAAAGAAAATGAAAGGACTTAATCATATATCATACAACAGATTTTATTAGCCTTATTGGTGGAAAATTATTTAAAATCATATATATAAAATATATATA